CGCACCTAAAGTGCACTGTGTATATGAGCTACCCCTTGTTTTTCTGTAAGTGCAAACATATCTGAAAATACAGTAAGGCAAACATTTAGTTTCTATAATTCTAAAACGTTTGAAAATCAACATTTGGTTTTTGACCACCTTTATTCTTCAACACGACCTGAACTTTCTTAGGTAAATTTTACTCGTAATTTCTTTAATTAGCCTTCAGGAACAGTTCTCCAGGCTTCTTGAAGGACATTCAAAGCTTCTCTGTGGAAGTTGGCTACCGTTTGTTCTGTTCTCTGTCGAGATGATCAAACATTGCTTAAATCAGAGGCTCCCAAAGTGTGGGGCCGAGCCATTGCAGGGGGGGCACGGTATGAAAAGAAAGAAAAAAAAGGATGCTTGGACGCTGTTAGCATAATTGACAGGTTTTTGACGGGGCTTCCACACAAACGCAAAGCAGGAGATGAGGCATCACCAAATATGTTTCCAAACCAACTTCATTCTAAGCCAAAGACTAGAAAATATCTTCCCTTTGGCTTCATCTGCACAAGTGCCAAGGTAGGTCTCCCCCGCAGAATTGGTTTTCCCTGTGTTGGGAGCAGCGCTGGGCTCTTCAAATCACGGACAAACAGTATCCCACATTCTTGATTTTTAGTTCACAAACACTTCTTGTAGTAATTAACTACTCCTGACATTTTGGCGATGTTAGCTCTTTATACAGTAAAGTTACTGGGGAAAGATTTTTCTTGTAATTGATGATTATTCTTGTTTTGATCCTTAATAACGACTTCTGAACAGTAGTTTGGTGAGATGCATTTCTTAGGTCACGTGTCAGGTCTTTGCTAGATTTCTTCCCATTTCTGTTGGACATTACATTCAAATACTGTTCATCTGCTCAAAGTCTTTAAGGATGCACTGCACACCATGCCCTGATGTGCCAGGTTTTTAGCCAATAGCTATTTGAGAAATGGCACCTTTGGAGGGAAACTATTAAGAAATGAGAGGTGGCTCAAGACCTCTGCACAGTACCGTACAACACAAGCAGCAATAACTATCTGGCAGCACTGCTGCATATCAGGGCCTGGGATATAAACTGGAAATTAAATATAGAAAATAAACAGCCTAATCTCACAGTCAGCCACCCAAGTGACTCTGACATTCTTGTGTCTCACACCTTCTCACAAAAAGTGATAAACCATGAATCTGTTACTTTCAAAGGAGTCCTGTCCACAGGGAGTTTGGAGCCCTGTCAATATGTGAAGGACCAACAGTACATTAGGCAGGGTTGGTCATATGTAATGAGTATATAGATATGATCAGTCGCATAAATTCAATAAAGTCATATTTGGATTCCACATTGGTAGAGCACAAATGATCCAAATTGACACTGCGTAACTTTAAAACCTTTTTTTTCCCCTTTCCTTTTTTTAAACCAGACCAGTTAACTCAGAAAAAGAATGTCGTCTTTCAAACCTTTAAATAGGTGCACAGTTCTTTCCAAAGTGGTAATTAAAGTATTCAAACACAGGCGTTCTTCAAAGCACTTCAAACAAATTAGCTTATAAAATTAGACTCTTGCAAAGCTATTTTCTTTTGCCTCTTAGGTCACGGGTATTGTAAGTGAAAATGTCGCCTAATATGACCAAAACTACTGAAGTCTTTTTCAGAAAGTATCAGGTTTGTCTCAGATAACCCCAGTTCTATCTCTGTTTCTTCTGGCTTCACATAACCAGCTTTGAGAACAAGTTATTGCACTTATAATTAACACAATTTGCTGATGCTGAAAAGCCATATTTGCCCGTGTCAGCGTGATGCAGTGATTAGTGCTGTCAATAACAGCAAGACTAAAAGTTCAAACCTTTTGGCCGGCCTTTCTCTGACGAGTTTGAATAATAATAATTAAGGAAGAAGGACGGTATGACCTGCACAGAGCTTTCATCTCAACATCATCCACCGAGGCTGGAAGTACATGATAAGATACTGAGGCATCCTACATTCACAACGGAACATTGACAAGTTGCTCTAAACAACCCTTTTGAAGTTTTTTGCTTTGGTGTTGTTTGCATGAAGTAAATTTTCAAAAACCAAAAAAAAAAATGGTAGTGATTAACTTACTAACCTAGCAGGCAAAACATTACTCCATCGTGACGTCCGACGCTGGACGTTGGTATTACTGCAGGACAAAAGTGTTGTTTTGTTTACCTGTGTTGGGCCAAGACTACTTAGATCAGCGGTCCCCAACCTTTTTTGCGCCACGGACCGGTTTATGCCCGACAATATTTTCACGGACCAGCCTTTAAGGTGTCGCGGATAAATACAACAAAATAAAACTAGTACCGGTACCAAAAAAAAGAAAATTTATTCATAACACACGTGAAAAGACCAAGGAAAACAGAGTAAACGATAAAAACGATAACAAAATAACACTGAAAACCGATAAAACCCTGTAAACTATACATTTTACACCTGAGCCTCAACTCTCGCGGCCCGATACTAAACGACTCACAGACCGGAAGATATGAAGAGACATTTTGCAATGACTTTTACAATGTAACGTCAAAAAAATTTGGGTATTAATGTAATTAATTTGTCACATAAATGTGTCATTACGAAAAGCTAATCTACAGCTGAAATGAGCCGACACGGACAGTCTGGGTTTCTGCGGAGAAGCAGGGACTGGGAGGCAGGGTTAGGAGAGGTGTGCTCACATGTTGGTGCCATAATCTCAAAGATTAGTGTACCCGGTGATTATTGTACCCGATAGCAGAGCAGAAGACCTCAGTACTGTTTTTGCCCACCAGGTGGGTGTGTCCCAGTAGCTCGGACATCAGATGAAAACTATAGATTGCTGTCAGTTTTAAAACTTGATAAATTCCCAAAATCACTTTGGTCTTTGCTTGATTACTGTTGGTGGCCTCTGCATTCATTCAGGCTTAAACGAACCCTTAGAAATGGATACACTGATAGATCTGAGAATAGAAATATTGGATGTTGTAGTCTGAAAGAGTTAAGAGGTATCTGATTATACTATTGAGGTGGACTCCTGACTGTTAATTAAACACACCCATCCAACAGATTAGTGGACCAATTACAATTTTAAAAAGGTAATCAGTAAGCTGTACCCAATTCCATCTTGACGGTTACTTTCCCCTGTAGGTGACTGTGCTTAACATGGGGTCAAAGCTTTTACTCCATCCATCTATAGACCCAC